TGAAACAATTAAAGGTACAATCACAAACAATTGCTAGTGGAAGAAAAAAAAGGCACAATCACAAGCTAGTAGTAGACTGTTACAAAGATCAGTGTGGATACACATAGCTTCCTGAAATGTTAAAAAGAAAAAAGATATCTATAGGCAATGGAAGGAAGATTGCATAACCAAAAAAGGATATAAAGCAGTTGCCAGAAATTCTAGGGATTGTGGCAGAAAGCCTAAAGTTGAGAAGGAGCTGTGGCTTGTGAAAAATACTCCAAACAATATAAAAGGCTATTTCTGATATATCAGGAATAAAAAGGAAAGGCATAGAAGCTGTAGGACTGTTGAAAAAAAAAAAAGGAAAGATATGAATTAGTAATAGGAGATGGCAAAAAGATGGAATACTTGTGTTTTATATTTATCTTCTTTCATAATGAAAAAGAACTCTGGATAGCCAGTTGGTTTTAGAGAAAAAAATTAAGGCGAAAGAAATAAGTAATACAAGGAATCCAGCATGTGTGCTCTTTACTTTAGAATCACGATGATCTTAATGAAAGTACATTGATAGAAATTTTCTGAGATTCTTCCCTCAAAGCAGTATGGTGCATTGGCTAGGAAGCAGCTTTCTTCATTGATAATGGAAAAATCTGCAATTGTGTGTTTGTGTCTGTCTGTGTGCATGTGTAAGGTTTCAACCTTTCAGTCCTATACCCACTCTTACACCTTTTTTGCCAATAGTAGGAAGAGAAAGTTGCAACTTAAGATAGACAAGGAGAGAGTAATAAGGGCATTTCATTAATTTTAAATGAATCCAACTCTCCAGGGAGGATGAATTACATCTGATTCTCCTGAAGAGGTGATCTCAAAGTCACTAAGTGAAATTTTTGAGTCCCAGTGAAAAACTGGCAAGGCCTAGAAAAACAAGGAAAGCAAGCATCAACTTCTTTAAAAGCAGAAGATGAAGGACCTAGAAAATTACAGTTTGACAGCTCAAAATCCAGAAGCAGGCTATTAAACAGCATGCTTATGAACATTTAGACAGAAATGCAAAGTCCACAAGAACCAGCATGGGTTTGTCACAAACAAGTCATGTTTCACTAATCTTGCCCTTTTTTCTTGACAGCTGTAGCAGCTTAATAGATTGGGGGAGGATGTACTATACCTTGATCTCAGCAAAAGATTTCTGAAAGTCTCTCATGATATCCTCGTTAATAAAAAGATAAAAACACAGGTTAGGATACAGCTTTTCAATGAATTCATTATTGGGTGCATTACACATAAGTAGTTCCAGATCAGCCTGGTAAATAGTATCAAGTGACATGTTACAAGGCTGTACAAGGCCTTCTGTTATTCAACATTTTTGTTAATGATCTGAATCGAGGGGGAGAATAACAACATTTGTGGCCAAAAACTAGGAGTGGCTAACTCTTTAGAAGAGAAAAAGAAGATTTAAAAGATCTATGGAAGTTTACAGAATTGCCAAGAAGAGTGGGATTAAATTAAACAATAATCTTCAGAGATTATTCCAGCAGTGTGTGATAGGTTGATTTATGAATGGTTATTGAATAGCTGGAAACATAACAAACAAAAAGGGCCAGTCCTGTACCACTTCGAAAGACCCGGCATGATGCTATTTTTTCAACAACTGTCTTATCACGGTAAGCCCTGGTAGCCATCTAACTACACTAGCAGTTTAGCCTAGCAGCATTCTCCATTGTCAGGCATGTACTAAGCTTAGGAAAGTATATCATATATGTAAATATATATCACCTCTGACCTTTGTCCCTTTATTTGAGTGTTCTTTAGAGATCTTTTTCATCCAGATGCAAAATGCTGGGACATGAATGCTAATGGGGAGGATTGTCAAAGAGCAATGATATGGCTTCTGGAAATTAATTTTGTACTAGGACAGGGAGTATTCGTTCTGCAAAAAGATCAAAGCAATTGGTCCTTGCCCATATGGTTGGATAGTTTAAACTTAAGGTTGCATGTAATCAGTGATCTGTATCTCCACTGGCAGCTAGTCTGACAAAGTGGGAAGGTAGAAATGTGGCCTCATCCACCTGCAGCCCCTGACAGAATACTTTGAAAGGTCTTTGGATCTAGACAGACAATTTATTTAACCTCCTTGCTCCTTAACTGCAAAGGTGCTGTTCATGAGCATGGTTTCAAAGGTTTGGTAAAATGTCTAAAAGATACTTTGTTCCAACATCAAAGGTTGGAACAAACCAGTACCTCAAATGAGTTTTCCTCTTATTATCTGGAGTTAGAGTATTTTATTTTTGTGAAGTTCATTGTTCATGGAGAAAAATCAGACAATTAACAAGGAGTTTCTAAACATCTCAAAGTCTCTAAACATCTCTGTGTTTTACTTCCTGGAGTTACAGTGTAGAAATAACAATTTTTTAATAATATCTGAAATGCAATTTTGGTACCAAGCTGTGACTCGGTCTAGTTTGAATATAGGTTATTGTTATTATATTCTAAAGAACATTGCCCCTTCAGAAAAGGAGATTGCAGCATAGTTCTGCCCCATGCATTTGGGACTTAGGTGCCTGGGACTGCAGTGGGAATGATGAGAAACCTTTCTCCGCCTCCAGGAGAACAGTGGCACATACAGCAGCAACAGCATGCATGAGCAAGAAGCAGCTGGGAGCTTGAAGGGCCATTTAGAGGAGAACGAGAGTGAACGGATGCTCAAAGACTTCCCTCCTGTGTTCAGTATTCTGGTGGTGCTGCAATAGCGTAAAAATAAATGTACCATCCAAAAGACTGAGCTAAGTCACCGCTGCTGAAGACAAAGGAAATTGAATCCACCTTGGCTAAAGATGAGGGCAAGCTGGCTTTTGTTGTTTGCTGAGCATCCACAATGGAATAGGGTCTTGATATATGGGAGGCTTTTTCACATTTTAGTGCCTGGTTTTAGGGGATCGTGATGAACTTCAGCTTATCTGTAGAGAAATAAATATATAGCTTTGCATCTGATTCTCCTTTCCATATCTATACTGATGGAAATAGTATTTTTGACTAGAATTAAAGAAGCTGCCATGGTCCTGGTTTTTGTTTGTTTGTTGTTGTTTACAAGAGGAATTGCTACCATGAACTTACTAACATATGGAAGATTACAGTAAGAGCTGGCTTATTTTCCCTGGGAATTTTCCCCCCTACAAACCTGGAATTATAAAGTACTTAAGTAAACTTCATAATTATGGCTGAAAAAGAGAGATGATTGTGCTTAAAATGTTCTTTAAAATATGATTTTTGATGAGTTAGTAAATTCATATCTTCTAGAAGTCCTAAGGTTTTTCTGTTTTTATTTTTTATATTTTTGGGAAAAAATTTCACATCACCTGGAACATTTTCAGTTTTTTCTCTCAGATTTTGCCTTTTACATGTGCTACCCAAGATCCCTTCAATGCGGGATGGATATTAGGAAGGCAAGGGTAATCATCAACTTTAAAAATTATTTATTAGTTTTGTCAATTTTGTTTATATTTTTCTGGCATGCAGAAGTACCTTAATATTTCTTCAGAAAATTTTGAAACATTAATTTAAATAGTGTAGGGTATATTATTTATGTCTCTTACTCAATGCTATATGCTTATTAAATGTTTAAAAATAATAAATATACTAATATTTTTCAGTGCATTTAGATTAAGATAGAATGTTGAACAGTGTATACTTCAACAAAAATGTTAAATGTGCAAATGTTCTTTACAGATATTGTAATTTTCATGTTCTAACTTTTGTCTCTTTCAAACGATAATTATTGAATACAGAAATGTATAATGATTTGAGGGAGAAATATTTGAGGCTAATAAATATTTCTGTTTTACACTATATCTATGCCCTTCAGGAGGAACGAGCTCGTCAAAACATAGCATCGTCCATAGGCAGCTGAATCTTTTATGTTATTAAAAGAGATAAGAAATTGTTTTGGGAACTGAATTTTTGGAATGAGGTTATTTAATAAAATATAATTCTGTAGACACTTTTGAAATAGTAAGCCCAATTTCAAAGAAAGTATCTCCTTCATTTTCGGCTATGTGTCCACTACTTACACACGCACTACACATACAGAAACAAATAAACACATAGTCTCTTGTAACTGCAGACATTTCATGTTTGCTAGAGCCGGGTGTATTGAGAAAAAATATCTTTATTTAGGAAATATATTACTATAGCTTAGCCATCCCTAATGTTTCCTCCATGTGTTGGACTACAGTTCCCATCATCCCAGGTATTATGACCCGTGGTCCAAGGAGCCAGCTTAAGAAAGGGAACTGTCATGTATACTGCACTGAAACAACAACAACAAATAGAGATTTTTAAAAAACCATCCCTAACACAAAAGAATATTACTCTGTAAAAGAAAAAAGAAAAAGAAAGAAACATCAGAATGATTTGATGAAGATAACTTAACCCTGAGGATCACAGTGAAGAGAGCAACTTAATCATGAAATGCTGAGGGTATTAAATGTGTGTGTTGGGAGGAGAGAATGCCATAGGGCGATAGTAAATACGCCTGCATGAGAATATAACACACAATATTTTAATAGCACTCAAGACCCATAAAAATTGAATACACACATACAAAGCATGAGCATAACATTCTTTCTTTGCACTATTTTAGGACACCTCAGGAGCCCCAAAAGAAAAATGGTCATTACAAATCAGTGTCATACAAATCTGTTATCTTCTCATTGTCACACGAGATCATCTAGATGATGGGATCTCAATGGGAGTGATTATCTGAGCCTCTACACTTGTCCAGAACACAATATAAGAATAAACATGTTTTTTTCCCTTTTGTAAATATGACTTGTCAGCAGTTGCCTAAAAAAAAAAATCCCCATTATTGATTAGAGCCCTGGGGGTAGTAATAGTAACTGGATAGATAACATGTGTATGACTTTCCTCTTGTATTATCTATTCCTCTTGTATTACCTTGTATTATCATTACAATCACCTATATAACGATGCTTATATGTAATTAATTTGTCTAAAATTTACAGGAGCCCAGTAACAAGCGGGTCAAGCCTCTTTCTAGAGTGACATCACTAGCAAGCTTAATTCCTCCTGTCCGAACAACTCCCTTGAAGCGATTTGGTCAGACACTCCAGGTATTTTATCTATTTATTAAATTTATAATGCTGCCCATCTCCCCGATATGGTTAAGTATGTTTTAAAAATTATTAAGTGAGATTATGTGTAATGAATATAACTGGCTTATGAAATTTTTCTGGTCTTAAGCTGGAGCAATTTTCCATACTGAACACATGTATCAGTGAAAAATGCTCCCAAAATCTGAAAAATATGATGTTTTCTCACTTTGGGAAACCAAATAGAGAGTTCCGTTTAGGGTTGCTTGCTTTTTTAAACCCTTCTTTTTTCTCTGACAAAAATGAGCATAAAACTTATTGTTAAAATATCATTGTATTTTACTTTCTCATCAATGGTTATGTAAAATATTCAGTTAGAGATTTTTTGGCCTAAAGTTATAACTTTTATAGGAAAGCATAATAATTAAAATATTTAAATATACAAGTAGAATTATTTTGATAATTCTGCTTTAATTTTAAATAAACAATATTTTTGTTGATATCCCATGAACAGATTTTTCAATTGATGCACTCAACTCAGATTTCAAATATGTATTTAAAAATGCAAATTCAAGGCAAAATAATTATGATTTTAATGAAAAAGATCCAGTTGTTTGTTTACACTTGAACAGACTGCATGAAAATGAATATTGATGAATCAACTGCTTTGATAATTTGAAGGTTAAATTATACATGAAAGTAGATCAATATTGATTATATAACTAAGTAGTTGCTTTTGTGTAGCATCTGTTTGAGGAGAGAGAAAATAGATTGTTAGATTACAGATAGTCAGACAATATAAATATGAAGCAATTCATATTCATTTCATTCCACTTTCAGTTTGAGAAAGTAGCAGTGTTTTCAAAAGCCGTCCAGTCCATTTCTGGTTTAAAAATGAGGATGGAGATGGAAGAAAGCACGAACATGAAATACATGCACCAGTGATTATTGTTGCTTGAATACAAATACTTTTCTGAAATAGTTTCTTTATTTGAACTAATTGATGTAGACAAAACATAATTGAATATATACCAAAAAAGGCGAGACCAAATTAAAAAATAAATTTTAGTTTCTCTTGTGGTTTCCAGTCAAAAAGAAACAACAGAAGTCTTCTGGCTTGAAGCAACCTTACTCTTTTACTTTTAATAAAAGTATTACCCAGAGAGAAAGATGACTCATTAGTTTTTGTTGCTCAGAGTGAAAAGTGAATTAAAGGTTGCTAAGTTTTATTATTGTACATGCATCTCTTTTCATAATGATGCCAGGTCCTGAATGAGTGAAATCCTTCCATTCCCCATCATCCAGTCACAGCTGAAGAAGCTTATGCTTCTTGGATTAGAAATGAAAATTCTTCAAAGAAAAAATAAGAAAGTCCAATTGGCTCCTGAAAAAGCCCATTTGGACAACCATGATCTGGATGGCTGAGAATCTCTACAGACTTTTAGCTATGCAATTTGGGAATAGCTTTTGGAGCGTGGGAATAGGAATGGATTTCCAAAAATTGCAGACTACAGAAACCAGGAGCACTACTCAGGTGACCCTCCAAGTGCTTCAATGACCCTCAGAAAGAATGCAAATGACCAGCCGTCTGCAATGAGTATCAATCCTTCTCTTCCCCACCATCCAGTCAGAACTGAAGAAGCTTCTTGGATGAGAAGTGAAACATCTTCAAAGAAAAAACAAGAAAATCCAGTTGTCTCCTGAAAAAGCACCTTTGGCACCTGAATAGTTATAAAATCATTGCAAAGCATATGGTCATGATATACTGTAACTTCCATAGCATCTTTCTTACCACAGTCAACCTTGGTAGCAAAAGAGTCAACTAATAGATAGCCTATATAACCTCTCCACAGTTAGGCAAAGAATCTTTTCACATTGATGTCTCAACCCTCTTTCTTCTCCACCTTTGGCAGGCTCTTTTGTATCAATGAGACAATAAAAAACTTTGGGTTTGACTTAGCTGAATGCTCTCCATCCTGATGGGCTGATCCATATCTTCCTTGACTCTTAATAGACATCATGATACATTCTTAGCTCTCACCATTATTAGTTATAGTTTCTCCACTGAGTTCCCTGGCTAGTAATTTATCAGATCTTTTATTTCAGTATTAGCATCTTTATTTTATACAATTCAATTAATATTCTGTTTCAAGTGCATAATTAGGTTCTTGTTTAGTATTCATAAAATATATATTTTACATGTATGTTTCATATATGCTCAAACGTTTCTTAACCCCCCTAACTCCAATCTTTTCTCATTTAACTTCTTGATTGTTTTTCTTTCCTATTAAGCCACTTAGAATAAGGTATATAGATACCTTAAAGGTGTCCTAAGCAACTAGTAAATATTGTCAAGAATTTGCTGCATAAAATCAAATCCAGAAAATACACACAGATAACTGATTTAGTAGGATTCATTAACTTCTTTATATACATATAATTATATGTATAATAACACATGAAGTAAATTTGCAATACCAACAGCAGATTCTTCCAAAGTGGTAGAGAGGAGAGATTATAAGTAAGTTTCAGTTCAGCAGGCAGACAAGTCCAGACTACTTTAGACTTGAGCAGAGAGCTAAGCCACATCCAGACTCCTTCCTTAAGTTTCTGTTTCCAAAACAGCCCCCATTGGCTGACCCAGTTGCCATGCCTATTCATTGGCTGACCCAGTTGCCACGTCTCTGCCAGTTCATGAATATTCTGATAAATATAAGAATGTCTGTTTATAATTAAAAGGAATTGTTCAAACTCTTGTTGTATTTGTTTTATAAAATATTAATCCTTTAATAAAGAATATTTCAGTATCATCTATAAAAATGTGGACAACTCTTTCTTGTGGTAATTGATAATGTTGCTGGCATGGTTATAATGCATCTATTACATTTATTAATCACTTCCTCTAAAGATTGAGATAGTAATGAAACCTAATCAAGAACAACTGTGAGACTAAAAATATTTTTTGTTACATTTTATTTCATTGTCATTTACTCAACGAAGTGTTTTCTGATATGTATGAGAATTAGAGTTAGGTAAGGTAGTATATTCAGGATTTTGCTGTGTCAGCTTGTTTTACTTATTTTGGAATGTTCTATATTTTATTGATAAAACATGTAAATTTTGGCAGCTTTAAGATTGTTGCATTTGTTTTGGTATCTTTACTTTGTAATAGTGGCAATGATAAAAAGTTCCTAGGGCACATTGTTTGATAAACAGGAAGGATGAATATTAAGAATTCAGTCCTGTAGATACACAATTCTCCAATTTTTCTTTAATTTAAATAAATCTATCGAATTGTTTCAGAGTGAATAATCCACCCCCCCTCAAAAAATGGTTGGAACTTTGGAGATGCTCCTGAATTCAACACATGACTACAAAATCCAGATTGCCTTTGTGACATTGAGTTTGCTTTGCTAAAAGTACTGCAGTAACCACCTAATCATATTAAGACCTCTGAAAATATAATCTAAAAACTTCAATTTGAGAAGACGGGAGCAATCAGATTTTTGGCTGCTCGTACTTCCTTCAATTATATTTCAGCAAACTTCATCAACTGTAAATTTGGTTCCAAGCCAAATTCAAAGTGCTATTGTTTAATTTAAAAACCTTAAATGGTTTGAAACTGAATTACTTGAAGCCAGTGCCCCTTGCTTAGAAACCTCCCTCCATACAGACAGTATCTAAATAATAGCTGTTAGCAGTGAACACGACATCTGTTAAAGAGATTATATTAACAAGTTATATATTCAAAGTTATCAATTTTCTTCTTTGACAAAGTTTAGTTATCCATAATTTTTTAAAAAGAAATTGGTATTTATTATAATTTCCCTCCAAAAATACCAAAGTAGTATATGGATTCCTACCTAATGTTATTGCCATGATACCAGTGAGTTAGGCTGGTCCAAAATCAGCAACCAAGTTTCATCCTGCTTCTGCACCTATACTTTAAATCAAATGTTATCTAAGTAGTAATTATAGTTTCCTTTTTCCTAGCGTTCTATCAGTTTTCGTAATGACAGTCGATCTGATCTACTTGCATCCCGTTCCTGGATGAAAAATGTACCCTCAGCTAGCACCAAGCGACGAGACAGTAAACTCTGGAGTGAGACTTTTGATGTTTGTGTCAATCAGATGCTCACATCCAAAGAAATTAAGCGCCAAGAGGTTTGCTTATTTACATTGCCTTTGAGATTTTTTTTCCTGAAATGGATTTAAGAGGTAAAAGTGTATGTGTACCTGACTGAGTACAGTAAATTCGTTCTCCACAAACACATTCCGTCTTTTTGCATTTAGGGCAGTGATAGAATTGACACATATCTATAAAAGAGAACATATACAGTTCCGGGTTGAACAGTGGAAACTTGGTATATTTTGAGCGTGGTTGTTTGATTATAGATGTTTCATTACCCCATTAAGCGGTACACTGAAGATTTTACCTAGCTGGGTAATGAAATATCTACAAGCAAACAATAAGCTCAAAGAGCCACATATCACATATCTTTTGAGTACGATATTGCTAAGAACTGTTAATACATTTCTATTCCTGTCTGTAAAAGTGACTCTCACAGCACCTGTTTAGATTGGCTCCTGCTACAGAGCTCTTGTCTATTTTGCTTATACTACAATGGACAAATCATTTCCCCCCTCTGTTTTATATTCACAAGCCAAGATAATCCTTGGCGAATAGCAGTGTAATGGCAGAACAAGTCTGGATCAAGGAAGAAAGCCTGAATATAAGGACAGGGCCATTTAAAAAAATATATCATCTCATTCTGTAGCTATTCTATTTTCTTCCTATTGCTGCTACCCAGATATTTTCCTCATTTAGCTATAATTTGAGGGGTGGGTGGAGTTTACAAATAGGAAGAAAAGATTCCTCTGTACTTCTGATTTGTTTTTAAATGGAGCATTAGTCAAATGAGCAAGGAAAGTGATGTAGAATCTATTGTGTGCTAAGCTGTAAAATGTACTTTAAAAACCACAATGGTTGGGCACCTATAATATATTAAGCTAAAAGCAAACAAAGAACATTATAGACTTTTTTGATATGTGAACTCAGCCAATGTGAATTGTTACTACAAATGTTTTTCCATTGATTAATATTATTGAAAGGCAGGAAAAAATGACAAAGTTATGGTTGCACATTTTGCTTCCTGTCTTAGTTCTAGAATGATTACTTAGACAATAATTATGAGGTAAGAAGGTCTCCTTCCTGAACATGTGCAGCTCTCAAGATGTTAACACAACACACATTTACCACCCTTTAAATGTGCTTTCCTAGCACATGGCTCCATTAGCCATCCAATTGTCATTTTTACTGCCCTTTTCATGTCTGCTTTCCCACCCACTTCCCTCTCCAGAGTTGGAAAAAACATTATTTCGGTACTGAGACACCACCCCCAGAATCAGGTACAAGTGAATAATATACATCACTTTCTGCCCCTTTCCAGCCTCCTGATTAAGGGTCAGATGAAAACCCAAACAACTAGAGTTATTACCTAGAGAAGCTCCATTTTCACAAAGTGCCTTTAGACATTTGAAGGAATACTTAAATTTCTGATAAATAATTTGCATAACAATGGAAGATAATAAAGATTTAGCTTAACAAAACATGGCTCTGTTTGAGGCTGAATTTAACCTACTAACTTCCATTATTCTGTTACTTGTGTTAATTCAGTTTTGGAATGCATGTGTGAGATGCTTACACTCCTTCCACTGCCTTGATATTTGTGTCATGAGAATAAGATCAAAGTGTTAAACATTTTTACAATTGAAGGGCTATACTGAGGATTATATTGGCAAGAATTGTTGGAGATAATACAACAAAGTTTGACAATTTATGAAAACATTATCAGATAATCAATCTAGAACTTTTATTAGCAATGAGATGGAGAACAATATATTTCTGAAATGCATGTTATATCATAAGGTTAATGAATATGTGAATATTCTATAAAGAATATGTAAATATTCTATAAAGAGAAGACTTACCAAATGTGGGCTGAAAAATCCAGGTGATCCACTAAACAGGGAACCCCAAAATAAGAACATTTTGCTGTCATCTAATGCTTAGGTTTCAGCAAGGCATTCGACAAAGCAGACTACAACCTACTTCTTAGTAAGCTAGAAAAAAGTGGAATAGATTGCACCACCACTAGAGGGACTCACAACTGGCTGACAAACCGTACTCAATGAGTAGTCCTTAATGGGACTAAGTCTACGTGGAGGGAAGTAAGCAGTGGGATGCCACAAGGTTCCGTCTTAGGCCCAGTACTCTTCAATATCTTCATTAATGACTTAGATGAGTGAATAGAAGGGGAACTTACCAAATTTGCAGATGATACTAAGTTGGCAGGAATAGCTAACACCCAAGAAGATAGGCTCAAGATCCAGATGGATCTTGACAGACTAGAACACTGGGCCGTATCTAACAAAATGAAATTGAATGTAGAGAAAAGTAAAGTCCTACACTTAGGCAAGAAAAACCAAAAGTACACATATAGACTGGGTGAAACCAGGCTCAACAGCAGTAACTGTGAGAGGGATCTTGGAGTCTTAGTGGACAATCAGCTAAATATGAGCCACCAGTGTGCAGTAGCAGCCAAAAAAGCTAATGTAATCCTAAATTGTATTAACAGAAGGATACAATCAAGAACAAAGGAGGTACTAATACCACTCTATAAAGCTTTAGTAAGACCACACCTAGAGTACTGCATCCAGTTTTGGTCACCACATTATAAAAAAGTTGTTGAGATTCTAGAAAAAGCACAGAGAAGAGCAACCAGGAAGATTAGGGGACTGGAGGCTAAAACATACAATGAACGTTTGCAGGAACTGGGCTTGGCTAATCTAGTGAAGAGAAGGCTCAGGGGAGACATAATAGCAGTCTTCCAATATTTGAGGGGCTGCCACAGGGAGGAAGGGGTCAAGCTATTTTCTAAAGCGCCTGTAGGCCAGACAAGGAGTAATGGATGGAAACTGAACAAGGAGATATTTAACCTGGAAATAAGGAGAAACTTTCTGACAGTGAGAACAATCAACCAATGGAACACCTTGCCCTCGGAAGTTGTGAGAGCGCCATCACTTGAGACTTTCAAGAAGAGATTGGACTACCATCTGTCAGAAATGATGTAGGGTCTCCCGCTTGGGTGGGGGGTTGGTCTAGATGACCTACAAGGTCCCTTCCAACTCTGATTATCTGTTATCTGTTGTCCAAATTTTTACAGCCCGCATAGTATATGCTAACAGAGAACTGCAGCTTAATGAATGAAGAAATAATATTTGGTCATTGTTAACACAGAGATGGTTCAAAGAAATATTATTCCACCCCTATATCTTCTTGCCTTGAAGTATTCATTGCCTATCAGGCATGTGGTACTAATTATTATTTTTTCATTCCAGTCTCTTGGTGTAAATTGATTAGCCTTTGAGCTGTTCATTCAGAATGATCTAGTGCATGTTAATAAGAAGCAAGGCATTTTATTTGATATTCCAAGCATTCATGCTTAAAGTAGTAGCTTTTCTTATTTTTTATACAAATAGATTGTGTCTCATCTGGAAATCAAATGAGTCAATTTGCTTTGCCACAAAAACCCCATGCAAAGCCATTGTGCACTCCAAGAACTTTAAGCATAAAAATCTCTTGAATGAAGTCATGAGTAGCATAAAAATCTCTTGAAACAATTCATGAGTAAAGCAAGGGCAAAAAACATTTGAACAATTCATCCTCCTGTTTTAAATTATTTTGAAGCTATTAAAATACACTTTGTAAAGGGCAAGAAGATACAATGTACACCAACTTATTTAAAGGAAACAATATAATTTGCACACATCAAATTGTCCTGAAACCAATAGTAGGATGAATGTTGCATTTAAAATTTAAGAAAGTGGAAACATACAAGATACAGGTAGTCTTTGTCTTACAACCATTTGTTTAGAGACCGTTCAAAGTTACAGAAGCATTGAAAAAAAATAACTTATGACTGTTTTTCACACGACATTGCAGCCTCCCCATGGTCATATGATCAAAATTCCGGCAATTGGTAACTGGGCATGTATTTATGACAGTTGCACTATCCCAGGGTCATGTGATCACCATTTATAAACTTCCCAGATGGCTTCCAACAAACAAAATGAATTGGGGAAGCTAGATTCATTTAATGACTCACATGATTTATTTAACAACTGCAGTGATTCACTTAACTGTGGCAAAAAAGTCATAAATAGATCATTTAACTATTGCCTCGCTTAGCAATGCAAACTTTGGGCTTAGTAGTGATTGTAAGTTGAGAACTACCTGTAAAAGACAAAAAGAAGCAAGGTCTTCTCATTTCTCCTCTTCTCCTTTGAGCAGAATGAAAAGGAAGGAAAAAATATCTATTTTTTAAAGCTTTATACGTAGTGCTCTGTGCACATTCCCTGATTACTGGTTACAAATCACAATAACAGAATCTGCACAAAAGGCACACAGCATTTCTTAGTTTCTCTAGCAGCTATTGGCTCTCTGGCCAGTTGTGGTCCTCACAAACTGCTCAGTAATGCTGAATTCTATGATGCCATCTCATTATAGGGTCTGATTGCCAAAACTTTATTTTCTTAATCTGTTAAATTGAGTGCCCCAGAACTAAAGCAAGAACAGCATGTTTTTTACACACATTTAAGAGGATAATGATATTTTTGTACACCACTGAAAAATCTTGATAGTTGATGAGAAGGAGGGAGGGAAGGCAGGCAGGCAGGCTATAATAACTGAATATTTCAAGCAACATATAGGGGAAATGGACAAAATAAACACTGGTGATTTCACCCTACTATTGGTCATAACTTGGAGTCTTTAAATTGTGTCTATGTGTAAATAAATGAAACTCATTCTGAAATACTGTTATAAAAATAATATTCTCTAATTAAGAAGTATGCTATCTGAAAGTCAGAATCTGTTATACTAGCATCCATTGTTTTATAACTTTTCCTGTTGTAGCAAAATGCACTATATAATTAGTCATACAAAATCATTGTCAACACAAAAGCTGTAGATTGGAATATAACTTATACATAAAAAACAGAACGACTACATAATTATTGGTTTTATCATCTTTTTTTCCTTGCAAAAGAAAACAAAAATGTTTCTTTAGCATTATTTCAAACTGAAATATCAGAAGAGTACATTTGTTTATTTTATAAAAATACCACTTTCTTTTTCAAATTGTTTTCAAAATTACAGGCAATATTTGAACTTTCACAAGGAGAAGAAGACTTGATTGAAGACTTAAAGTTAGCAAAGAAGGTATTGCATGCTTATGTATTCTATCTGAAACTGGTTAATACTATTTCTGTGATCAATGCTAATGAAGAAAAGGTTTGACTAGAAGCTAGAGCATATACACTGCTCAAAAAAAAGATAAAGGGAACATTTAAACAACACAATGTAACTCCAAGTCAATCACACTTGTGTGAAATCAAATTGTCCACTTAGGTAGCATCGCTGATTGACAATCAATTTCACATGCTGTTGTGCAAATGGAATAGACAACAGCTGGAAAGCTTAGGCAGTTAGCAAGACATCCCCAATAAAGGAGTGGTTCTGCTGGTGGTGACCACAGACCACCTCTCAGTTCCTATGCTTTCTGGCTGATGGTTTGGTCACTTTTGAATGCTGGTGGTGCTTTCACTCTAGTGGTAGCATGAGACAGAGTCTACAACCCACACAAGTGGCTCAGATAGTGCAGCTCATCCAGGATGGCACATCAATGCGAGCTGTGGCAAGGTTTGCTGTGTCTGTCAGCATAGTGTCCAGAGCATGGAGGCACTACCAGGATACAGGCCAGTACATCAGGAGATGTGGAGGAGGACATAGGAGGGCAACAACCCAGCATCAGGACCGCTACCTCTGCCTTAGTGCAAGGAGGGACAGGAGGAGCACTGCCAGAGCCCTGCAAAATGACCTCCAGCGGGCCACAAATGTGCATGTGGCTGCTCAAATGGTCAGAAACAGACTCCATGAGGGTGGTATGAGGGCCTGACGTCCACAGGTGGGGGTTGTGCTTACAGCCCAACATCGTACAGGACGTTTGGCATTTGCCAGAGAACACCAAGATTGGCAAATTCGCCACTGGTGCCCTGTGCTCTTCACAGATGAAAGCAGGTTCACACTGAGCACATGTGACAGACGTGACAGGATCTGGAGACGCCGTGGAGAACGTTCTGCTGCCTGCAACATCCTCCAGCATGACCAGTTTGGCAGTGGGTCAGTAATGGTGTGGGGTGGCATTTCTTTAGGGGGGCGCACAGCCCTCCGTGTGCTTGCCAGAGGTAGCCTGACTGCCATTAGGTACCAAGATGAGATCCTCAGATCCCTTGTTGAGACCATATGCTGTTGCGGTTCGCCCTGAGTTCCTCCTAATACATGACAATGCTAGACCTCATGTGGCTGGAGTGTGTCAGCAGTTCCTGCAAGATGAAGGCATTGATGCTATGGACTGGCCCGCCTGTTCCCCAGACCTGAATCCAATTGAGCACATCTGGGACATCATGTCTCGCTCCATCCACCAACGCCACGTTGCATCACAGACTGTCCAGGAGTTGGGGGATGCTTTAGTCCAGGTGTGGGAGGAGATCCCTCAGACCATCCGCCACCTCATTAGGAGCATGCCCAGGTGTTGTAGGGAGGTCATACAAGCACGTGGAGTCCACACACACTACTGAGCCTCATTTTGACTTGCTTTAAGGACATTACATCAAAGTTGGATCAGTCTGTATTGTTTCTTTCCACTTGGATTTGTTTGGATTTGTAACTCCAAATCCAGATCTCCATGGGTTGCTAAATTTGATTTCCATTAATAATTTTTGTATGATTTTGTTGTCAGCACATTCAACTATGTAATGAACAAATTATTTAATAAGAACATTTCATTCATTCAGATCTAGGATGTCTTATTTTTGTGTTCCCTTTATTTTTTTGAGCAGCGTATATGATCACTAATAAGATTTTAAATATTTGCTTATTGTATGGCTTTTCTGTCTTTTCACAGGCGTACCATGATCCAATGCTTAAGCTATCTATAATGTCTGAAGAAGAATTAAAGCAAATTTTTGGAACACTAGATTCTTTAATTCCTCTTCATGAAGGTATATTTTCTTGCATTCAGTATATTGGAGAAATGGTTGTATACAATTTTATAGTAGTGTGCAAAATCTATAAGCTGAAATATGCAGCAATGTCCAATATTTACATTTTTCTATAATATTTATGTAGGTTTATGTTTATGGAGGATGACTTTTTTCTTGGAATTGGTTGGAATCTGTTAATGTTTCATTATGGAATTGAGTATTCCTAGTAAAACCAAATTGTCCATCACCATCAGCATCCAATAACAACACCACTAATAATACTATTAGTAATTCTGGAGTACATACCAGAAGTTATTTTACATAGCTGACTATTTCAGTTTATTCAGATTTGTAAAATTATGGTATGTGTGTCTTTGGTTTTTTTTCTCTCTATTGAGCTACTTTTGGGACTTCCTGAAATTACTGCTGTCTTTTTTTAAGGGTGCTATGAAGGGAGGGACTGATTTCAAATTTAGCAGCAGTATTAGAATAAAGGCTTAACATTATTGCAAAAAAGGTCATTTCTGAAGTGAGGATCATGCTATTGGTTGTTTTGCTTTTCCTCTAATTGTTTCATCTTTAGAGGGTGGGCTGGTTGCTTAAATGTGGAAATGTTTTGTAATAAGAAATACCAAATCATTCTGCTCTTATCAAAACTGAAACTGTCAATGCAGCAGTCAAAACGGATGTATGAAGAAACTATTAGGTATGTTGCAGCCACTTGACTTTCTTATAAAAATGATAGGGAGTTTAATGTCATTTGGCAAAGTTTTTATTAGTAGAAACTACTACTAAATTGACAAGCTTCCCTTTTCTGTTGTTTAGCCAAAATATAGGGAAACCCAGTATGTTTGATTCACAGAAAAGTTCAAAAGCCTAGTCCATTGTAAAAGCCAGGGTTACATTGTCTGCTACGCCTGGCTTGCCATGTTATGAACAATATCAGTGAATGATTCATAAACCAAGTCTTCCTTTTATTTCCATAATATTCAGTATTTTATTTTCATCAGATCTTCTTAAGAGACTGAAGGAAATTAGGAAGTCTGATGGATCTACTGAATCAGTTGGTCACATTCTTGTGAGCTGGGTATGTAAAATACTCATATATGTTTTCTTGTTCCTATTTTTCCAATACTGATCTTATTTGGCATTACAAACATGTTTACAGAAACATGAATAACAGGATTTGTGAATATTTGAGTTAATATAGTTGGAAAAGTTATACTTTTTTAAAGAAAAGGACCTGTGATTTTAACACTTAAGGCACCTTTCCAACACTGTAGAAGATTATGGCTAAATTAAAAATTTCAAACTCTTTTCAAAATTTCATATATTAAGAAATGTCTATTTTATAAGCTTTGCTTGTGGCCAATGAGCAATGCTTGTGATATATAATCATTGCACAGTGTTAAACATAACATTCTAAGGTAATATATATCAACCTGCTTCAGAATATTTCATCGTTATATTAGCTCAAATATATTGGACTTATTCAGAAAATGTGCTTTTTAAACTCATCGTTGGATACAAGGCCACAATAACCATTTTTAAATCCATTAAACTGTAGGTAGGAAAATAAAGGTTTTAGAATTTACAATACTGCATAATTAGAACCTTAGACTAGCAGATTTAAAGATTGGAAAACAAACCTATCTGAAAGCAACAAATATGTTTGAATATAACATGCAAAAACTCTTGCCACCTATTATTTTTCTTTTTTTCCCTTAGTTGCCGTTCTTGAATGCTTACGATAGTTACTGTAGCAATCAAGTGGCTGCTAAAGCTTTGCTGGATCATAAAAAACAGGACCACCGAGTGCAGGACTTCCTACAGCGCTGCTTGGAATCCCCTTTCAGTCGTAAATTAGATTTATGGAATTTCCTTGATATCCCACGCAGCCGTCTGGTGAAATATCCACTGCTACTCAGAGAGATTTTGAGGCACACACCAAATGATCATCCAGATCATCAGCACCTTGAAGAAGCTGTATGTGTTTAGCAACAATATAGCAAGTAGAGATATTTTTTAAAAAATGTTTAATTATCCATTTCAAGGCAATTGCTTGGATTAGAATTACAATAGTGTGTGTATGTATGTGAGTCTGTAGGTGCTTGATATGCAAAATTACTTACAGTTAATTAGCAATGTAGAAGTAGAAAAGCAATACTGTTTTTAGAGGCTGTGGAAAAGGTGCTTTCTCCTGCTCCGCTGGCTAAGTGTTCTTCCAGATTAAGCAGCCCCAGTATGAGATGAATCTACCTTCAAGCCCCCTTTTTAATGAAGTGAATCAAGTAGTCTCTTTCCTTTGACACAGCAGGTCATGTGACCTCCACAACCCAAATTAGTTAGTCATATTAATGGTTCCATATGTTGTATTCAGCTGTTGAAGCAGAAACAATCAATCTGATAACACATAACCATGTCTTACCATGACTGTGCGTATATGTGTATGTATTTATGGCTAAATATCCCACCTTCAAATATTCCTTTCCATAGTGTTGCTTCTTAGATATAGTTCTAAGAAACAGAAGCATGCCAAAGCTACTTATGCCAAAACTTTTCTTTAATCCTCTGGAAATAGTTGCTACTGCTTAAATATTCAAAGGGTGACCAAGGATTCAGGAATATTGTATGTTAGCCATGTTGCAATAGCAAACACACTAAGTGCTTAGGGTTTCCATAAATGTTAGAATTCCTTCCCCTTAATGCAGATGTGAAAGTTCAGTACAACAGTTTTTTACCAGAAGTCTGCAGGACTAACTTTAATCACTTAAGTTTATTTAGAAAATCATCCCTATTTATTATAGCATAGCAAGTTACAACACAGATTTGGGGTCAAGCACACGTAATACTAGTGGTTTTAGTTAGAAAATCAAACAACGAAGTCCTGCTGTTTATGTGTAAAAGGATTCTGATGATATAGGCTACTTCATTCAGTCTACTTGAATGAATAAATGTGCTAAAGTGTCATTCATTTAGCAACTACTACATTTAGAGATCACTTGTAAATACAATGGTAATAAAGGGTAAAAAAAAAATTCTAACCAGCGCACATATTTATGATGAAATTCATACGCCTGAAAATGTACACCACAGTGAGATTAATGCCATACAAGAGAACTTTATCTGAATGAGACAGCAGCACCTGATCTTCACTGTGTCCGTGGTGTGTGCGCGCATGCGTGTGCATGAAGGGTATGCTTAGCAATTATTTCACTTAACAACCTGATCACTGGAATGGAACTTGGTCACTAAACAAAGACTGGATGTATTCATATTGATTATCATATGCATATGCTTGCAAAACATAACCAAGAAGAGAAAGATCCTTCATGCTCCCTGAGGTTGTTGCAGACATGTCATTCACTTGTCCAGCACTGATAATGTCGCCTAATTTGGGTAATGAAATGTCTGCAAGGAAACAATTAAGCTCAGAGAGCACCAAGGACCCCTCATTTCAACCCTGAGCTATGAATATTTTCTTCTAATGATAACCAAGAAATTCCTGCAGATATCATTCCTGCACATTCAGTTGAACCACTCAGTAGTATCTAGAACAGGGTTTCCTATGCAGGATGAAGAATTCTAGGAATTAAAGTCCACAAACCTTCAAGCTGCCAGAAGTTGAGAAACACTGTGCCAGAAAAATATTGAAAACTTAATTTTCAATAGATCTTGTTTTAGCAGCTATTTGTCAACCTGTGTTGGAAATTGACCTCCTTGTAAATAATCTCTTTATTTTTTCTCTAGATGAATATTGTTCAAGGCATAGTAGCAGAAATCAATAAAAAGACAGGAGAATCTGAATGTCAGTATTACAAAGAGAGGCTGATATATCTTGATGATACCCAAAGGGACTCCCTGATAGATGAGTCACGTGTTGTTTGCTGTCATGGTGAACTAAAAAACAACAGGGGAGCGGTAAGGAATTTAAAAAATACTGGGATAGTTTATTCTCTTTCCTTTGAATGTTGGTTTATACATCAACAGATTGTTACTCAAATTAACCATACTCTCAAATTAACCATCAAGTGCATATATTCCAAGGCGATATATTGACCCTGCTGCTACACAGGTTTGAATCTCCTCTACCAGATAATCACAAGGAGTGATATGGATAACTACCATCAGCCATTATCTGTACATAGATGACATAAAACTGCATGCAAGAGTGAGCAAGACATCCATCTGACACACATTTACAGTGAGGATATTGGGATTTCATTAGGACTGGAGAAGTGTGGCATCACAAGTACCACCATCAAAGGATAAGACAGATCTTAAAGACTCAACTTAATTGTAAGAACAAGATCCATGCCATCAACAAATACACTATGTGAGCCATCAGGTATCTTACTGGGAGAATGAGCTGGTCAAAACAGAACATGAAGATCCAGAACCTTCTCACAATATATGGAATGTTCAACAAGTCCAACAGAGATTGTGCACCAGGTAGAAAGAGGGAGGAGTGGGATCTATTGAGTATCGAAGTCTGAAACCCATAGCATCCAGGAATACATCAGTAAGATGACAGCCAAAAACAAGCTTCAAAGAAAATGCCTGAAGCAACAGCAGACATGAGAAGAAAGTCAAGGAGAAAGATAAAGTGCCATGGGAAGACAAGACCTGCATGGGATGTACCATCAACAGATAGCTAAAGTGGCAGACATTGGGAAGTCCTACCAATGGCTGGGAAGGGCTGACTGAGAGACAGATCAGAGCAGCACAAGAACAGCCACTGAGCACTAGATCCATGGAAGCATCCGACTGCACTTAAGAGATCCGATTGCACTTAAGAGGATCCAAGATGCAAATTATGCAGAGGTGCAAGACATACTAACACCATACATTCAACAGCACAACCAAGTAGTTGACACTGTGTATAAGAACATCTGCACAGTGTATGAGCTAGCTAGACCATCCCAAGTCCAAATGAGACGTCCCTCGCAGATGGCTGTGGAGAATAATAGCACCAAGGTACTGTGGAACTTCTGGATCCAGACAGACAGGTACTGGCCAATCAACTAGACAACATGGTAGTAGACAATGACTAGCAGATAACAGTGGCAATAGATGTAGCAGTATTAAAAGATAATAGCATCAGGAAGGAGTACAAGAAATTCTAAAGAGTTTGTAAATAGTCCCATGGAAGTCTGCCAGAGTCCTTCAGGATAAGTGTGATAAGCACACACCTTTATCTTCCTTGAAATGCTGCCAGTGCCAAACAGCAAATTTAACACAGAACTTCAGATTTCAAACTGACCAGTACGAACAAAGTTGCTTCCTGCAAAGGTTCGTGTCCCTTTGCTCCTCATCTTATGGGAGGGCCAATCACCTCCAAGTCTTACTCCTGAGTCACTCCTGTCTTAACTGTTCTTGCCTTCTGACAGCTCTGCGCACATGCGCACTGGGAACAGGCTCCCCTTGTTCCTCTGCCTCACTGCTGTCAGATTCTGGAGGCTCCGGAGTCAGCACATAACTCCCAGATGGCTCTGGCCCCCTCTCTGTATCGGATACATGTCCAAGTTCTCCCCAGACTCCTGTACTGGCCCATGTTCCTCCCCACTGTCTGACTCTGCTGCTGTCTCCACAGGTTGCCGGTGGATCACAACAAGAGGGAGGGAAATTGAATATTTGTTTTTTTTCTAGAGTAAATGGTTGTTTTTAAATAAGAAATTTAGAAACTTCTAGAAAAGACACTCAAGCTTTTTTCCTTTTCTCCTAGAAATTTCATGTCTTTCTTTTCCAAGAAGTGCTAGTAATTACTCGGGCAATTCTTCATAATGAACAACTCTGCTATCAAATGTATCGCCAGCCCATCCCTGTGAAGGATCTTACGCTGGAAGACTTGCAAGACGGAGAGGTGCGATTAGGTGGATCCATACGTGGTGCGTTTAGCAACAATGAGAGAAGTAAGAATTGGTTAGATTATTTTGATGTTTGTCAAATAATGACATTTCAGAATTTTATTCATTTAAAATTCTATCCATTTTGCTGTTTTGTTAAGGAGCTATTTTAACATATCCTTCATATAGCTGGTACGTAGAGAATCCCAGTTCTTAAATTATTAATAATGTGCCATTGTTTTAAATCCTTAGCATTTTGTAGAAAATTACAAATCAAAATCCAACATTTTCAAAATTAACACAGCATTTAAATAATCTTACAGAAAGCATTCCATGTACTGATTTAGTTCCTTTCTTGCAGTTAAAAACTTCTTTAGAATCAGCTTCAAAAATGGATCACAAAGTCAATCCCACTCATTACAAGCAAATGATACTTTCAATAAACAACTCTGGCTCAACTCTATCCGTCAAGCCAAAGAACTGATTTTGCATGCCTCGGGTGAGAATGGAGTCCTTGATTTGGAAGGACCTGTAATAACATCAAGTAGGAACAGAATATTCCAGCAAGAATCCAAGTCAGAACAAATGGACCAATCAGACAGTGGATCAAACTGTAGCATGGACACTAGTGAAATTAGCCTTGAGTGTGATCACATGGAAGAGACAGATTCTTGGGAGAATGACAGAGAATTAGAAAGCAATGTCTGACAAAAACTTCATGAGGCTTTCAGTGTCTTTTATGTATGTATTTGCATCCATATGTGGAGAAAGAAGCACTTTTTAATATTTTTGTGACAATGTCAATTCAATCCCTATTATATTTGTATCTGTTGACCATAATACTGTAACTGCCGGTATGTGTGATTTGGAATGTGTGACAACTATAGTCTTGTGATAGTCTGTAAATGTCTCAATGACTGAGACAGGTACTTGACCAAATATTTCACGTCCTGTTGGTAGACAAGATTTCTAAACTACCAGTTTTAGACATATTATATAGCAGGTGTCCCTATTTATAAAAGTTACAACTTATTACCTGGTGATTTGACATAAGTACATTACATTAAGTACATCACTTGCAAGTAGGGTATTCGACAGTGGATGGTGTTCAAAAATAATGAGAACTCAAGTGATGTCCAACCATTTATAAAGTAGTGCTATATTTTAGGATAAACTAAAATACTAAGCCGGCAGGAATCTTAAATACAGCTTGATTTACATTTTTAGGGTGAAAAGATACACGTCAACATGGCTAATGCAATAAAATAGGTTCCTCCAAGTGCATAGATACAAGATAATAATTTGAAAATTGGCACTTCATTAATAGGGTAAATCTAAAACTTCATATGATTGTGCTGTGAAATAAGCAGATTCAATAAACATTAGAAGAGCATGGAAACACAAAAACTGACAGCTGAAATATTTTAAGGTCATTTAAACAATTGTTTTGCTTGTGTAGCCTTTCTAAGGTAACATATCAGTTTGTATATAAAATGGTGCTCTCTCTTTACATGTTTTGGTTTCTCTTACATTTTATAAATAAAAATTATAATCAAGACCTATCCTGGGGAAATTATTTGGGTGAGCAGCAAATGAACCTTCTCTTTTTCATTTTCCATGATTGCTCATATTTCTAGCCTCCATTGCAGGTACAGATGGAGATGCCTGACAGGGAAAGGGTTGCAAATAATAAAAGAAGCCACAAGCTCCACCCCTCTTATATATACATGTCTTGTGACATCACAAATACATAAAATAGGGACAAATTAGAGGATGACTCTTTTTTCTCATTTTGACAAAAGCATCATATTCTGTTGCCACCACTGAGACTATATACTTTCTGTCATGAATTCTGTGTAAGAAACTTGTTTAATATGCTTTTTATATTAAAATTCAGAATACATATGATTTAGATGTAAACAAAACATTAGCAACCTTAGCAAAAATTTGAAATAGGGAGCACCACTAGAAAACATTAGAAAGGGCAGATTTTTAAATTAACTCACTTTCATGTTTATAATGTTTTATCAGGAATTTAAATTTCTTAAGCTAATTGTGATTAAAATAAGCCATGATTGCCATGATTAAAACCATGATTCAGATATTTTCTTATAACAGACCTCCCAATAAAGCATTGGCTTCTTTAGCACCAGTACCATTCTATAATTCTCTGTTGTGTCTGTAGCACCTATTGTTATTCTATCAACTCAATTGCAAAGTGTTCTGATTAACATCTCAGAAAAATGTCCAGCTATTCTTTGATTAGCTTTAAAGTTAAAGTTGGGAAAATGTGAATAAGCTGGGAAATTGAGTAAAAAAATTACAAATAGGTTTGAACAACAATAAATTCAGTATTTTGCTGATTTCTTATAAATGGGCCTATAATATGCAACTTAGTGCACTGAAATATAATTACTATTATTTTCCATACAGTATAGAGTCTAACCTCAGTACAACAGTAATATTGGCAAAATATGTACATCAAGCATTTTATGTTTACAGAAAAAATAGTGGAGTAAATAAGGTGTCAGGTTTTTATGTTTCACAATCTGTTACATAAGTAATGTTAAAATAATCAGTATATAGTAGGTTATTTTACTTCTTTTTTTTAAAAAAGTATTAATTACCAATATCACTGTTTAGGACATTTCTGTATGTATAGGATTAAAATATAATGATCATGTTTCAAACTTGTAATTTATTTAACTTGCTTTATTCTGGAAAATGTTCACCAATCAAGGGAAACAGATCCAGTGACTTACGGTTTAATGCAATGTTCCAGACTGGAACTGGAGTAATACTTACAAAGGAGATGCAATAGAAAATACATTAAATTGCAATCTTAACGATTTTTACAATCTTACAACACATGGGAATAAATCCAAATGACATAGTGGGACTATTTCTCAGTAAATATACCAAGGGTTGTGTGCTGAAGTTGTGAACTACTGAACTGACAAATACTTGCCAAAATGTTAGAAAAATTTTATGGTTTTCATTTATTAAAAATACTGTATTAGTGATTAAATATTTTTGCATAATAGTCTTATACTGTTCTCAAACATTTCAAATAAATTACACTGAATTATGTTCCATATCTCCATGCTTAATTGGGAAAGGCAGAATATCTTATACTTCAAAGTATTATTAATTTTACATTTTAGCTAAACCTATTGTATATTACTGATGCTCAAAATGGGTTTATGAAGGTTTTGAAATGTGACAGCTATAGAATGAACTTTATCAAATTCTTTTTCATCAGTTTAAAGATGTTTGCTATATCTGAACAGGAACAAGCACTGGTAATTGTTGCAGTCCAGGATCAAAATGCATACCATCTTAGAAATCTTACAATAGGAGTTGATTTTATTTTTTTTAAAGGGAAGCAAACTTCCATTATGTTCTAGCAAATGCAATAGGGCTGTGTAAATCAGCGTTTGCCCACTGGTGGCCCGTGAGAAAATTTTGGTGGGCCGCAGAGAAATCTCACCCCTGGAGCAACCCGCCCCCAAGCAATTAATCCAGGCTGTTCAGAAACACAAGGCTGTGCTGCCCACATGGCCTGCAGGAACCCTCCCTGCTCACTCCTTACCTGGTAAACTTGCCTGCTAAATTTTCCTTTTTCGGACCATCAGCTGGAGATTTAGATTAGCTAGGAAGCAGGAAATGGTTGGATTTCTTGCTTTCTAGCTAGTCTTTAGCTCTTCGGCTCTGCTTTTAAGCACAGCCAAACCTTCCTTAGGACTGAAGTTTCTATTATTCAGTGCAGACTCACGGCAAGCAAATTTTATGTGGCAGATTGAGCTAGCTGATGGCAGATAGATAGATCACTGAATGATTCTGTGAGCAACTCAACTTGCCTGCCTGCTTTGCCTGATTTTGGGTAAAAATTGCTCTTTTTTATAAAAAAAAAATCAATATTTATATAAATATTTATAATATTTACATACAAGCCATGCCCAGCCAGTCACATGACTACCAAGCCACACCCACAAATTAGGCTACACCCACATAACCGCTTAGAGGTCCCTGGGATTTAAAATTATGAGTTTGGTGGTCCCTGAGGTCCAAAAGGTTGGCAACCTCTGGTGTAAATAATTCAAAAGACCTGCTTCATGTGCTATAGTTGCTTAGTAATTTAAAGTGGGAAGCTTCTTATTCTATAGCTTCCTTCAATCTGTTTTATGATTAATAGGCTAATTTTTTTACACATATTTAAGACAGCAGGCAGGACATTATGGTGATCTTTCTGCTGAAATTTTAGATTGGTTCTCCCAAGCCAACCAATGCCAAGTATTTTATTTTACAAGAAAAGTGTATCTTTGGAGCAACCGTAGATCTGTTTCTTCTTCAGTCAAGTAGATTTTTGAAATTTAGGAAACATGGTTTCCTTTACAAATTTAATGTTAAAATTCTGAAGGCATCAGAGCATGTAGGTAGCCATAGAGTATAGGCATAGGAGGTATGAGGAAAATAAAGGCCAAAGTGATTATAGTGGGGTAGAAGCCCTCGGGGCTGTGACTCTGAAGTTGGAAGAGTGGCCCTAACAGATCCCAAGAACATCAGAGCTCTCTATATCATTTTTTTTTAAAAATTTTAAATCAAGAGCTATATGAGTTTCTTGTAAAAATAAATACCGTTTCCATGCTGCAATTTTTTTTTAAATAAATACCTCAGGTCTTTAATATTGCATGAAAATATTATGACACTGTTTAAAACATTAGGCATCATATATACAGTGGAAAGACCCAATATGTGAAGCCAAGGCAAAAATAGAAAAGCTTAATCTGAAATGAGCATACTAAATTTTTTTTAAATAAAAACAGGAATAAACTCAACTGGCTATGGAAAAACACATACTATAGTATAAAAAAAAGAATGAAGCTGAAATAAAAGCCCTGATGAAGGAAAAAAAAATATGAGGAAGAGAAGTGTCTACTTCTCAATAATTTTCAAAATTATTGGGCTTATTTTGCTATCAATGAATTTCAGATCTTACCTTCCAATATTTGGCAGCAACAGGATTATAACCTTTTACTCCATCATCAAAAGAAGCAAAATAAATATCACAGGGAAGATAAAAAGGCTGCATCTTGTTTCATAAATGTGGTCTTGATTCAATTTATTATGAATAAGTAACCTTCACACCAAGAGAAAATTGTTTAAACTATTACTGCCATCTGCTGGTACTATTTTAATGAAAGTAAAATTGTTTAGAAGAACATCATTATTTTTATTTATTTTTCTTAATATCCAGTAATTATTTCACTTTAAAGATCTGATTCCTACAATTACCTTTTGTCTGCTCAAATTCTTTAGACTCCAATCCAGAATAGGAAATTTCTTTTCTAGGAAAGAAAAATCTGGGTTGTTCAACCCAAGGATCAACTTTTTAGAGAAGTAGCCTAATTAACCAAAATGAAGTTTGTCACATTTTTATACATGCTTAAAAATTTGATCCGTAATCAAATCTCATTAGAACATAATATATAAATTGTACAAACTCTGATTATCCTGGATGATTGCTTCCCTGTAGATTTGTAATGACTATTACCTGGTTATTTTGTCAAGTCCTGAAAGATCTCATGAAATCAGATTGTTTCTCTGCTTACCCTACTTTCTTCCGGGAAAAGCAGATTCCTAACTATTAACTGTAATAAGGCAAGTATATCAGATGATTAATTTTGAATCCCATGAAAGACACAGTTAATTACATGTGTGATGGTTTGTGGGACTCTTCTATTTTATGGCCCTAATTAGCCTAGGCTAGGGAAATATGCCTATTTGCTGATGTTGCACCTTGGGCAGCCAAATATCTTGGGATAGCCCTTACTGACAGTTTTAAGCATATAAGGAAAGATTAAATTATAAAAAGAACGCCCCCCCAAATATAATAATTACGCATTTAATGTTTTCACTGTTATAACGGAAAACTAAGGTGCAAAAACTAATCTACGGTACCTAGAGATAGTAGCAAAGATATATAGATATCTCTTCCGTGCCATATAGTGGTTG